AATAAATAAATAAAATCATATAAATACTGTCGTAAGCGAGAAATTTCCTTCCTTCCTTCCTTCCTTCCTTCCTTCCTTCCTTCCTTCCTTCACATTTTGCAAAATCTATTCTCATATTGCTGGCTTTATCATTCACTTTGCTTTGCCATATCTGCATCTAAGAGCTGCTGATTATATGATGGCTGTTGCTTGAGCGTTGGGTTCCAAGTACCCACACGCAAATTCATCAGATGCGAAAGCCCACACTTGTGTAAATGTTGTCATTTACCCTTTCAAAATACATGCAAGCAGGGCCCAGCCCTTTCTCATACATTGTTCAAATGTAATGTATAGGAAAAAGTATCTTCTATATCTATGTGCATTTTCATCTCGTACAAAATATCAAATATATGTCTGCATGAGTCCCGGCAACAAAATACAAAACTTCACCTAGAAGCCTGCAGACTGTTAACCATGTATGAATTCACAGAATACCCATGAATTGTTTAAGAGGGTTTCCCTCTTTGTCTATGTTGAAAAGAATTTTTAATGTAATTAACTATCCTTCCTAGATTTATTTGTTGTCCATCCAGCAGTTGTAGTCTATCCTATCCAAACCAGAAATAGGGGATTGTCTAGAAATTTGTAAATTTAGGTTAAACTGAAACTCCATGCCACCATAGCCTCCAGACTGGACTACTGTAAAGTATTCTATGTTGGGCCGCCTATGAAGACATCTTGGAAGGTTCAATTGGTACAAAATATAGTGGCAAGATTCCTGTAGGGAGTCAGGTGCTGGAACATGTCTCTCCATGTCTGTTTTCTTCCAGGACCAATTCAAAGTGCTGGTTTTATTACCTTTAAACCTTCCATGACCTAGAGCCCTCAAACGTATTGATCGGCATCTGCTGGCATACTCCCACATGCCAATTACATTCCTCAGACAACCATGCCCTTGTGGTGTCCTGTCTTAAAACTGTCCATACATCAACATCTAGGTCACATGCTTTCTCTGTAGTAGGTTCTGTCCTCTGGAACAGACTGCCAGAGTAGGTACGGAGTGCACCTTCTCTGGTTACATTTAGGAAGGCATGTAAGACTGTTGTATTTCAGAGGCATTTGGAGGAGGGTGAACTGTCTCAGCAGATTTAACTGTGTGTTTTTTAATCTGTGCATTTTATCTGTTAATGGACTTTTATTATTTGTGCCCTGTCACTTGTAGTTGTGCCATTAGCAACCTTGAGCCCAAAGAAATAAGGTGAGATATAAATATTTTAAATAAATAAATAAAATGTCTTCACCCATGAACGTTTTTGTTGGCTGTAAGGCCAGTAAGACAAGAGAGTTGGGAGGCACAGGGCCAAAGCGTCATTCTGTTCTCCAAAATGGCTTGCTGCCCAACTCCATTAAGAACATAAGAGCATAAGAGAAGCCAAGGTTGGATCAGGCCAATGGCCCATCCAGTCCAGCACTCTGTGTCACACAGTGGCCAAAAACACCAGGTGCCCTCAGGAGGTCCGGCAGTGGGGCTGGGACATTAGAAGCCCTCCCACTGTTGCCTCCCCCCCAAGCAACAAGAATACAGAGCATCACTGGCCCCAGACCAAGAGTTCCTACCTATACCTTGTGGCTAATAGCCACTGATGGACCTCTGCTTCATATGCTTATCCAGTTCCCTCTTGAAGCTGTCCATGTTTGTAGCTGCCACCACCTCCTGTGGCAGTGAATTCCATGTGTTAATCACTCTTTGGGTGAAGAAGTACTTCCTTTTATCTGTTCTAACCCGACAGCTCAGCAATTTCATGGAGTGCCCACGAGTCCTTGTATTGTGAGAAAGGGAGAAAAGTACCTCTTTCTCTACCATGTATAATCTTGTAAACCCCAATCATGTCACCCCCTCAGTTGTCATTTCTCCAAGCTAAAGAGCCCCATTCTTACTAAAGCTCTTTCACACCCCTCTTTCCAAACTTTCCCTTGTGGGTGGGCAACTGAGTGGGCCCCATGGCATTACCAGAGAGCCAGATTTGCTTCAGCAGCTTCACTGCATAGGTTTAGTATACAGCTTCTGTTGAGAGACATTTTGGTTTGATTTAAAATAAGCAGAACACATCACTAAAATTATGCCTTACCTTTTCTTAGTATATTAATAGTTTAATGTCCCCCATTTTAATGGCAGGTTCTGTGAGAAGACTGATCAAGGCTACCGATTACTAATACCCTATCAAAAGCTTGTTTTGCCTTGGCAATTGCCAGTCCTGCTTACAGGGGAGCTACCAATGGATTTTTGATCCTCCTTGGATTTTGTCTTCATGCCAGGAGAATAAAGGTTACATTTATCTTGAGAATTCCAAATGCTTTTCGTATGTGTTTCTGAGAAACTAAACCAAAATGAGGATTTTCAAGTGGATCCAACGGGGACAAGAAATCCATTAACATCCCTACAAAGGATAGCATATGAGATTCAATGGCAAAGGGCACAATCCCCAGTGCATTTAGTGACTCTATATGTTGGTTTCTTTCCTTTGATCAACCTCCTGTATCATTTGAGAACCTCTGCTGAAGCCATTGCACGATTCTGCGTCTAGCATTCGCTCTACATTTTCTCAACTGGGAGGAAAAAGTGCAGCTCAAAACCACATTCAAATACCTTGGGGTCAACGCCGTACTGACTGCAAAGTCACCCCTGAATGGTCATAAAACCCCATAAATCTATGCAGAAGGTACCATACGACCTGATGATCAAAAGCGTGGAAGCGACCATAAGACCCAATAATCAAAGGAAGTGGAAGCAGCATGCAGTGCAGGGGGGGATTTCTGTTCCAGCGTGGGTTTTGTAAAACAATGGAGGGAAAAGCCAGTGCAGAATCAGCCATTGTTAAGAAAGGACTTCTCAGAAGCCTCGTTCAGGCAGAGTGGATTTACAAAAAGCACATCTATTGAGAAGAGCATCTCAAGATCAACAGTATTCCCTGGTAGCCTCTGCTTTTTCTCCACAAGTGAAGTTGTTCCTTTGAACACATCTCCACCCTAACACAGAGGCTGGGCACAAGGCTCTTTAAACCTTCAGATTCCTAGGCAACTTTATAAAAGCCAGGGCTAAAAGGTCTGGTATCTCAAAACCAGGCAGTAGGTTCGTTTGCATCTTGACACCGTCTTGTGACCTTTCCCGGTGCAATGATATCTCAAAGCTGACAGGAACGATGCTTTGATGTCTTGTACCAATTATTGTCTAACCAGCCACAACAGCTAAAGCAATCACTGTTTTGTTTGTTTTTCAAAGATGCATAGTCAGCCATACTGTCAAGGCTCAGGACACACAGTGACACTTTCTTGTCACATTCATTCTCACAATATCCCTAGGGGAAAACTTCATATGATGTCCCTTTTACATGTACAGCACCTCCCGTACACAAGAATACCAGTAGGTTATGCACTGCCTTTCTTTGAGTCATACTGTATACAGCATCCCTACAGCCACTGACTACGCCCACTCTCATCCAATCCAAATAAACAATTTTCCCCTTAGAAAAGAATCCTGTTTGCCCCTCTCTCTGCTTCTCATCTAGCAATGGCTTGAAACAGTGGCAAGCCAGAACAAGCATCCTCTAGAAGCAAAAAGCTGGATAACTTCCATCCTATGTTCTTTTTTGGTACCTCTTTCCATTGCTGCAGTGGTATTCCTCAGCCCGTACTATTCCTTCCTTGTGACTGGCTTGCTCTGGGCGCAACTGGTAGGTGGACAGCTTATTTTTGTTTAAAGGACTGCCTTTGACTCAGCACCTTTTTGATGCCTCTGCACTTCATCTTTGGCACCGATGATTGGCTGCTGGTGAAAACCATCTAGGAACTGATTGGGCCTGTACTTGCCTCTGCCAAAACCACAAGGATAGAGAGGATGTGACTGTGAGGGTGGGGATGACCCCTCAGGGGCACATGGAAGCTGATTTGTCCTTATGGAACTGTGGACAGAACAAAAAAAGGGCACCAGGACTCAACGAAGACAACAGGACCCTCATATAACGAAATTCCCTTCTTCGCTATGATGACACTTTGATGATCTTCACAGGACGGACTTGATAAGTGTGGTCAGAAAGGCAAAACGACGTCTCTCTCTCCGTCTTGATTTTCTTCATTTATTTCCGATTGCTATCTAGATGACAACAGTACTAGCTCTTCTGTGGCTGAAACTGTTTCTCTCCCCTGAAAACCACTTTGGCCCTTGTCTCTTGCTGCTCCTTCAGCATGTCACTCTTCTCCCTTCGAAAAGTCTTAGGTGGGAAGCGTTCTGGAACAGGAACTCCCTGCAGTACATTGGGTGCTTATTTTTCTTTGAGATGAACTGTGTCCTTAAAATCCCACACTTTGAATCTCTATAATCTATCACATGACACAAGAAGCATGCTTACCCATCCCCTGTGCCCTGCGCACGTGCACACACACACACACAAACAATTTAATTTTCCTAAATTGTGTCATCTTTCAGTGTATAATGAGTTGGAACCTTCTTCTTCTTCTGGAGCGCTTATTAAAACAGCAGCATCCTGTGTTAAAGGGCCTGGGCTGGGCTCGAAAACACTGACACACTTGCTGTATACAACCACAATAGCAACCACAAGAATCTCCCTTATGAGTTTTCTAGAAATGAGCAGGCACTTCTCTCGGGTAGCCTATGATGGGATATAACACCACAATCCAGGCAAATGCATGAATTGAACAGTCTCCCTGTAAGCAGGATGGATGGGCCCTGGGCGATATGGAGCAGCGGAGGGCAGAGCAGGCTCGGGGTCAAGCATCGGTCTGTCTTAATTGGGTACCTGAAGGTTGGGTAAGAGAAGATTATGAGAAATAAATTAAACAGGGCACCAAAACTCTACACTTTAAAAACAGAGGCACATTCCGCCCTTGAAGCAGCAAGTATTTGGACTACAAAGTCCTAAATCTATGTAACACGATAGGATTAAGTATCTCTAGGTTAATAGCCTTGAACCAATAAAACAGGACCAACCAGTCAGTACCCCTAGGCTGATAACCTTGAGACACATTACAACAGGACCAAACACATTTGGCCTCCAAGGCCTTCCTCGGTGGTCAAGCGTTCATATACATGCACACATATAAACATGTGTTAATGCCAAGGCAGGTTGATTATAAGGCATTCCAAATATTCTGTGTGGCAGAAGAATTCGGTTGTATAAGAGGTTTTCTTAGACTTTTAAGCAGACATATCCAGGGAATGCAGATTTAGTAACTCCTTCTGACCATGGCTATCAAAACCCTTGGAGTGTGCATGTATGTATACATATAGATACAGAATTCTTTCCCAGTTGTGGTGCTACTAAATTGAGATGACTTTCTGGAGCCCCCCCCCCCCAAGAATTTCTCCCATCACAATATCCAGCCTACCTCATTGCAGTGGAGTTGGCAGCAGGAGTTTAAAAATGTTTGATGATAGAATCTTAACCTGATGAAAAGGCTGTGGGTAGTGCCTGATTAAACAGGCTGAGCCCCTAAACTATATCAATTTTAATTTTGATTACAATTGTAAGCTGCCTCAAGCAGAACTCTGAAGAGGCAGAATAAAAATATTCTAAGTAAACGAATAAGAGGTCGGGTTGCAAAGCCAGTCAAGCCTTCGTCAGTAACCAAAGGACAGGTAGACTGACAGGGACAAGATTTGTGGTCATGATGACCCTTCGCCCTAAGTACTGGTACAAAAACCGACCACTTTGCAAGAAGACTGGTGGAATCTGCGCTTTGCAAATGCTCAGAGGTGAAGATAAAGCCTCCTTGCAAGGGGCAAAGAAAAATGGAAGAACCTTGCCTTTTGTCTTCTAAGCTCTTTCGAAATTCCACTCTGCAGAGGAAAAGCCCGGCCGGATATATTCAAAAGCTACAGTTCAGCAATGGGGTCTACTTAGGGTTGCCAGCTCTAGGATGGGAAATACCTGGAGATTTTGGGGGTGGAGCCTGAGGAGGGTGGGGTTTGAGAGGGGAGGGACTTGAATGGGGTAGAATGCCTTGGAAGGTCCACCTTCCACAGTGGCCATTTTCTCCAAGTGAATTCATCTCCGGAGCCCAGAGATCAGTTGTAATAGTGGGAGATCCCCAGCTACCACTTGGAGGCTGGCAACCCTAGGTCTACTAGAGTATTTACGTTTCAATGGAAGCTACCAGAACCTTCAAGGAATACTCCCATCCCCACTCCACCCCAGTTTGCTGGTAATTTCCCACTGTGTAGCAGGGGAACAGTCTGTGGGCTATATAGAAGATCTCTGTCCTTTATGAGCAGACACGTGTGAAGCGGTGAGAAACAGAGGACATGAGGTGAGGCTAGTTCTGGTGAGCTTGATCTGGTCAGATCTTGGAAGCTAAGCACAGGTGGCCCTTGTCCATATTTGGTTGGGAGACCACCAAGGAATACTAGTGTCACTATACAGAGGCAGGCAATGGCAATCATTCCTGAATGTCTCTTGCCTTGAAAACCCTACAAGGTTGCCATTAGTTGAATAGGAAGGAAGGAAGGAAGGAAGGAAGGAAGGAAGGAAGGAAGGAAGGAAGGAAGGAAGGAAGGAAGGCCAACAAGATGGAGAAAAGTAAGAATATGAATGAAGCCTGAACTAGAGATCTGGAAGCTTTAAGATTATTCTGCCTATCTGTTTAACTTAATAGGGATATGTTTTAGATTTAGGAATAGGGAATTGAATTTAAATGCCTGTTATATTTTCCTTTTGTTATGTATTGAGTCTGAACTGTACTCGCAAAAGGACTTAGCTTGGGGATGCATAACAATAGCTTGCCAGGATCCTAGAATGGACCAGTAGGGTGACAGGGATCCTAGAGTAAACCAGTTGGGAAACAACAGAGTGTAAATAGCCTATCGTTGGGAGTGGGGTGTGTTTTGAGTGTAACCTTTTCCAGGCATAAATACCCAGATTCGGCCAGGGGTTTCTCAGTCTTCTTTCTCTTGCTGAATCACTAATAAACTATGAGCTGATCCAGAGGTCATTTCAGGGGGATCGTGGGGGATCGCTGTTCCCCGGGTGAGGTACAGAGAGGCGGGGCACATGACGAAGCCCCGCCCCCTGCTTCTGGCCGCACCGCTTCCGGCCCTCATTCAGCGAGGAGGAGGCAGGAGAAGAGGGAGGGTAAGTTGCTTCCTCCCTGCCTCTCCCCGTGATGTCAGGGGGTGTGGCCTTATGACACACTTCCGGTGATGTCAGGGGGTGTGGCATATGCTAATGAGTTATGCTAATGAGTTCCCCTAGCTCTTTTTCTACGAAACGACCCCTGAGCTGATCACTTGAACGCGTCTGAACCCAGGATATTTCACCTTTACTCTAATGTTGTTAGTCAGTTGTTCCTCTCTCTCTCTCTCCCATGCCTACTTATACAATTAAAGACAATTTATTCTTTTTCTGAAATCAGTGTTATGTGCTCAGTCTGGAAACAAAGCTTGGCCCATGTTTACCAAGATATCAAGAGCTGGCAGGGAGATGCCTGCCTTGGTCTGACTACCCTACCAGGTGAGATCTCCAGGGTTTTTCCTACTTCCACAGTAATTAGGAATAGGAGAGGGATTCTTCATCTGGAGAAATGTCTCTTAAAAAGACAGAGAGTTGGAGGACCAGGCTGCTCCACTGGCACAGTTTGAGAGCTTTTGAGAGAGGTTCCAGAGGTTCATTGCCTTCCCCAGTGTAAATGGTTTGCCCAGCAGCATCAAATCTACCCTGCTGACACACTGAAGGTGGGATTAGTCCATGGTTTACTCAGTGGGGAAGTTTCAAGCTGGGTATTGCCTAGGGCAACTGAGAGAGGGGACGAGGACAAAATTGTGGGGGTGCAAACGCCGCTTGTTGGCCTGGGAAGCTGGAATCGTGCTGCATTCAGTAGCAACCAGAAGGGACACTCTAACCCTCTTGGAACCTTTTAAAGGAGTGGGGAAATTTTTGACCTGTTGCCTCCCTCTCTCCCCTGCTTTCTTTGCGCTCTTGATTTCAGGACCTGAGAGAGGCCAGAGGGAAGGGATGGTGGCCCAGGCTTTCTGGCCAGAGTGCAGGGCTCTTCAGTGCAGAACACTTGGAGACTGAGGGATGCAGTGTTTGCTGGTCAGACTGCAGCAGGAGAGGAAAGACCGGAAAGGCCTGAGTGGCAGGCAGCTCTGGTTAGGCAGGATGGGTGGCAGGAACCAGAGAGCCTCTTCAGAAGTCAATGTACCAGGCTTCGGCTGAGAAATACACGGAGATTTTGGGGGTGGAGTCTGAAGAGGGTGGGGCTTGGGGAGGGGAGGGGCTTCAGTGGGGTATCATGGCACAGAGCCTGCCTTCCAAAGCGGCCATTTTCTCTAGGGGAACCGATCTCTGTCACCTGGAGATCAGCGGTGATAGTGGGAGATCTCCAGCCACCATTGGGAGGTTGGCAGTCCTACTTCAGCTTTCATCTAGGATACACACTCAGCAGATGGCTTGTGTGTGAGAGAGTGAGTGTGAGTGTAAGAGAGGGAGAAAGATTAAGGGGAAGTATGAAGGTTGTTTGTAAATCTTGGGACTGCAGTGATTGATTTGGCCTTGTCGTAGGGTTGCCAAGGCCAGACTTAGAATTTAGCCACCTGTGAATATCTGTAGGCTGTCACCTCTTGCTGGTGATTCCCTTTCAACGAAATGTTCTAAGTCTTGCAAAATATGGAGCTAATTTTGCCCTCACACCATGCTTCCAAAAATTCTGATTCACAAACAA